GTTGAAGAACACCTGGGATCGTTTTGTTTGGAAATGTAACTTGTTTTCTGAAAGTGTGGCAGAAGATTTAAAATGCCTCACAGAACTTTTGTATTTCTTTGAAATGCTTGTAAGGAGGTGTTACAAAAGTACTTCATCTAAAGTTGTGAAACACTTTTTTATGTTTAATGTAATAAGACAGCTAATTAAGTCAGACATTTATGAAAATGACAGTAGCTCTCATTTTAAGACAGTTGGATCAAATACAGAATTAAAAAATGTTTTATAAGCACTTTAGTGAATAATTATTTGGAAGATCGCCCAAGACTTTTGCTGATACAAAAACCATAGTGTAGGAAATAATTGAATGTATGTTCTGTAGAGATGCAAAGACTCAGACATAACGGAGGGGCAAGTTAGTTGTGTGCTTTAAGGTTATAAAGATAGTCCCAGTTAACTAAGTAAACCAGATCTCTTGGCATCTTGTATGAGAGCAAGGCCCAGAGATTCTCTCCTTATTTTGAGTGATCTTGGCTACTATCATTTGGCATATAAATGAAAAATTCAGCCCCTGTTTTTGTCTCTGAAGATTAGTACGAATCCCTTTCTTTTGTATTTTCACAGTTTTCCTTTCCTATTATGGAGCAACAGCAGCTTTTTCTTTTTTAATTTTTTTGGAAGAGATTTTTCTGTCTCCTGCTGGGAGCAGGTGGTGGCATCAAGAGGCTGGAAAACGTGTTAGTAGTAAAAGCTGGGTTTGTGTCTGGAGACTGTGTGCAGCCCAGGCCAGATACGCTTCTCAAGCTTGCAGACTTTAATACTTTATGAAGCAGATGGGAGTTTCTTTCCCATGACTTGGCACCTGTTCCAGGTACTGTTTTGAGGCTGTCTGTAGACTTGGGAGTATGTAACTCTGGATACACTTGAATCATATTTTCGGCTTTGTTTTAGTTCTGATACGCTGTCTTGCGTGCTCTCGACTGAACTGATTTCTGATTGCAGAGTGAGGAAGGGACCTCTGGATCTTTTTTAAAAGCCTGAGCGCTGCTTGGTTATTATGGAACTTGAAATAGGCAATAGTAGATGAGTCATCTGATGGGTAGATAAAAGGCAGTATATAGCAGAGACCTGTATAAATGTCTCAAGTCCAGATTTCTTTCTGAAAAATATGCCAGAAGTACTTGAAGCTTTCTAGTTCCATTGGTGAAATGAATGCTGCTTCAAAAGGCTGTTTTATGAAATGAGTGTGTAAGAGACATGATGCCAGAAACCCTTACATGCCTAACTGAAGATGCTCAGAAATCCTTTGGAAAATTGTAATTTATATGTTGTTAGCTAGATAATTGGTGGAATATTCAAGCAAGGAAGCCTGATTGGCTGGTGCTGAAAGAGCTGGCCCACCTCCCCTCTGTTCTCAACCATGGGCTCCCACAGGTGGCCCTGTGCTGGCATCAGGGGTTGTTTGGCACTGGTAAGGAACTAAACCATGAGAAAACAATTTCTGTTTAAAAAAAGAAAGAAAAAGATAGTTATATTCTGCTGGTGTAACTCCTTGACTGAACTTGCAGGGAAATGCATCTGTTTTGTCAGAGTCAGGTGGATTTTTCAGCTCTGAGGCAGAAGGGTGGATGGTCCACTGCAGCCAGGAAAAAGGTAGAGGGAGTAGGCTCTCCCTGCCTGATGGCAGTGACTGCCTAACAAATTGGAGTTTTCTTCTGTGATCTTGCATTAAAAATTCTGAATTCTTCCTGTGGTAGCCTGTATTACAACAAATCTCATTGTATATTTAGGGATATATCTTTAGTTTTTTACTGTTAAGCTCCGTAATAACATCCTATAGAAAGATTATTTTAATTGGTTCTTAATTATTGGGGTTTTTTTTTAATTGGCCAATGTTCAAGATATCGTGATAGACAGAGTTTGTTCATAAATGTGTCCCCTATGTTTCTGCTTTTCTGGATAACTTGTATATTATATATTAGAAATTAGTACTTGTTGTCTTCCAGAGGCATTTGCTTTCAGCAGTATTGGGATATCTGTGTAATGCTCTTGAATTATGATGAAAAAAACTTATCAACTGAAGTTGTCTAGTGTCTGTAATCAGTAGGTATTGATGCCTCTTGATTTGTGCTGTTTGTTTTATATATATTTATATATATATGAACGATACATATGTAGTTCTAAACACAGAACTTTGAACACCAGACACAGGAACCTGTGGAAATAGAATTGGTTCTTAATAATCTGGAGTAGTGGGAATCCCATATAGTGGAGTGATATGGGTAATAAAGCTCCTAACCATCCTTTTGGGGGGTATAAATGGAGAATGAAATCAGGTGAAGTCTAGCAGAATATTTAGTCTGGGCTTTGTGTCTTCTGAAAGTCTATATATGTTGCTCTGAGCCCACTGAGGCTTTGGGGACAATATCTGTTTTCTGCATGTCGTATCTATGTATGCGATCTTATTTGTAGTTTATACGCATATTTGATATGTAGAATATTGGAAAAACTGCCTGTGGACATTGAAGTGTTGACTATTTTACATGCCTTTGATAACATCTATAATTGTGCATTTTTGGTTTTGTATTTTAGGAAATAAAATAATGCTAATGAAGCAACCATTTCCCTGAAATTCAGGTTTTCAAGCTCACTACCATTATGGGTAAGTCTTGTGTGTAATGTATATAAAAATCTAATTCAGATACTTTTCATTTCTGTTGAAGACCAAAAACATTCATGTAATACCATTCCTAGGAAATGTGTGCTTTGGCTGTGTAAGTCAACGTAATGTCTACATGAAAGGCAGTGGTCAGGTGCTTTGCTAGTACTCAAAACTTTTTTTTTTTTCTGTTGGAATATAGCACTTTTCCCTCACTATGTGGTAACTTAAAAATCCAAGTATAGGGAAGTGAGTTTCCTTTTATTAGGGTACTGAACAATATTTACTGTGCTCTGAAATGGCTGTTGGGGGCAAACATCCCACAAAGATATTAAAGAAAGTTATTCTATTGGCTTGTGTCATGGCACTGCAAAGCCAAGACTGTGTAGATGGTCTAACTGTGTTTTTCTAAATATTTAGCACGTTTGTATAATTTCAAATTTTAAGTCAATTTTTCAAGTTGTAAGTGCTTTTTAATGAGTTGACCGTGTTGTTATTGTAATCACTTATTGGTGCTCACTCTTAGAGAAACCCCAACAAACCAACCGAAACACACATTTTTGTATAGCTTTTTGTTTATCTTTTATGGTTATGCTAATTTTTTCCTAACTTTATGCTTAATAATAAAGTAGCTGAATCTAGAAATACAGTACTCTTTAGATTTCTGATATTCTCCAACACTTTGTGTGAGAGAATGACTATTAAGTCATATGGGATGTTCAGTAAACTTTAGATGCTTTGCCTCAATGCTTTGATTTCCTTTGTATGAAGTATGTTACCTAGTGACCACTGGGAATGAAACCTCCACCAACCAACTACTAAAAGAATTTTTTTTTTCTTGCTGAGCACTAGAATAGGCTATAACACATTTAAATAGTTTCACTTTTTTTAATTGTGGAAAGTTTTGAAGTGTGTTTTAGTGTGAGAAAGGAATAACTGCGAGCTGTAAGAATGCCTTCAGTTCTGCCATTAAATACTGCTAGTAAAACTTACTTTTATGGATTTGCATATCTTAATAGAGTTATGAATAATGACAGCATGAGTGATGATCAAAGTTACTCATTTTCAGACCAGCTTTCTGATTTGTTAGGAATCTGTTAAATTGGAACACTTGAAATCCCACAATTTCCTGATATGACAAATATATTTGGTTATATTTGAGTAGTGTGAAGGAATTCTCATCAGTGCTGAATACCTGGAATGCTTGCCTGCTGATATTAATGCGGAGTTTTTCTCAGGTCCATGTTTGAGAAATACTGTTCTTTGTAAATCACAGCACTTAGCAATGTATTCCTCAACGAACATATCTGTTGTCGAATAGCATGAAGGCATACAATCAACACCTTTGTAGATAAATTTTGTTATCGACTGTTCTGGATGCATGCTGAGTATAGTACTGTTGCTGTGGCAAGGAATTAATAGGAAATATTGGTGAGAAATAAATTTCATTTAGTGATTGATGTAGAGGCTTTTGAGTTCCTAAGTGCTTTCCTGTCCAAAGGAGCATCCCAGTTCCACGCAAACCTTGTCTAGCATGACCCCAGGCCATCACAGCTGCAGAGATCATCAGGATCCAGGAGTTTCTGTGAACTTGAAATAAAAGCTACGTAGCATTCCTAAAAAATGACCGTGAAATCGAAGCTACGTAGCATCCCTGCCCCTAAATTGTCCCCTGGGTTCAGTGCTTCTGTTTCTCCTTGTGAATTACTCCTGTCAGCCCTAAAAAATCCCTATATTTGCAGTCCTGGAAGAGTTCTCTGGTGTTTTGGGTTGGGTTGTTTGGTTTTTTTTAATGTCTCTGTGGGCTGTCAGCAGATGCTCGAACAGTGGAGTGTTCCTCTGGGAGTTTATGTATGCTTCCTATGTGTGTGACCGTACCTGTTCAGGACAGAGGAAAAATGATTCAAAAGTTCTTGCTTTTCTTTTTTTTTTTTTTTTTTTTTTTTTTAGGATTTGGGGAAGGGGGGAGTGCAGTATGACTTCTAGTTAACATCTCATCCATGACGTTATTTGAAACAAATTAGATAAACCTTTTTTTTTCCCCACCATTCTCTTATTAATACAGCTTGCTGTTCTGTAGAGTTGTCAATCTCTGTTATGACTTCAGTTTTTTAAACTTGACATAGTGTGTTTACTGATTAAGCTGTTTATTTCCTTAAGCAATGTTAATGAGAAAACAAAAGTTGTTTGAAGTATGGCAGTAATTTTTTTTTTAATTTGGCTGTTATGTATTGCATGTGCAATATGGACTTCTAGGTTTTAGAATAATGCCTGCCTAATTATGAAATGAGACAGTAATGCACTTCAAATGTAACAGTTGTTTACACTTCTCTTATCTGGTCTTTTTCTCTGAGCAGATGAGCAGCAAGCTTTGAATTCAATCATGCAGGATTTGGCTGTGCTTCATAAGGCCAGTCGTCCTGTATTGCCCCAGCAAGAAACAGGAAAACCAAAGTCATCTTCACCTAAAAAACAGGTAATCTTTAATATTCTAACTAACCTATTGAACATGGAATGTCCTACTGTGACTTCTATAATTATTTTTCTTGCCAGCCCAGTGAGCATACCAGAATGACCTATAAATGACTCCAGTCCTGATAAAGTGAAGATTATAGGAGTATTTTGACACTGTATGTAGATTGATTTTTTATTTTTTATTTCTTCTGAATTTGATTGGTACTAGACTGTTTTAAAATATCAAGGTGTGCTAGTATCTCTTATTTGGAATGCTTCTTTAGAATGAATTTTATAGGTGTATTGCCCAGTTGTCAGCTATATCGTACTAAAGAATGTCAGTACAGCAGCAGAAACATACTTATGCTCCTTTACTGCATCTTTGGCCTCAGATTTTTGTTTGTTCATATGCTGGAAATGAAAGTTCAGCTGTATTTTTTTTTTTCTCAAGGTACTGAACACAGATGGAAAAGTAGTAAATGATTAGTTGATAGGTTTGAACTAGTATATGGAGAGATGAGGAGATGTAGATTTTTACCCACATTGTTCTAGTAGCCATATTGAGTTAACTGTATGTTTATTTGATTGGATCCTTAATTGGCAGTCCAGTATTTCATGAAACTTCGGTTTGTGCAGTCTTGTTTTAACCTGTTAAAGATCAAAGTATTTGAATACATCTGGCTCTTAAAATGTGAAAAAACAACAGCTACATCTTTTTATATTCTGTGCTTTAAAAGCTGTAAGAGTTCAGTAGATAACACAATGGTGCTTTGCTAGTGTCATATAACTCACGTCTAAGCCATGACTTTAGACACTGTAGTAATAGAATGATTTGAATGTAATCCATGTTTAGAAAGTTAGAAGAAAAATCATTAGAGCCATTTCTGAGTTTAAATGTGGTGGTGGTGAAGGGGAAATATGTGTTTGTAATTCTATTTAAACTTGTGAATTTTGAAAGTAATCACTTGTGAATCAAGTAATTCTTTTGGAAGATACCACGTTGTTATTTGGATATAATCTCTGTGGCTGAATGTATCATTTTTGCTCCTGCAATAGTTGCCAGTACAATTTGATTCTTAAAATTATGATTTTTACAAAACAATTGTATTTCCATGTAAGTGTAGATATTTACAGATATCTTTGTTATTAGGAAACTGATTGCATGAATGCTGGCTTAATTACCTGTGTGGGTTTCTATGGTAATGCTTATGAAACAAGATATGTTTCTTAAGCCTGGAATGCTCAGCTCTGAGGTGTACAAAAAAACCTATTATAGTAGCTAGATCTACCTGTCTGTTCATAAGAGAATTCTTTGGTAGTGAGTTCCACACTGAATTTGAAATCATGAATCTGTTATAATATTAAAATATATTGATAGTAAATAATGTGTTTACTTACAGAAGCATTCATTGTACTTCAGAATAATTTTTTTGTATTTTTTACATGCTTTAAGCCTCTGTCAGATACCCCAGCAGGAGTAGCTTGTGTTTAAATGCTTTGTATATCAGAAAGGACAGAAAATTAATATGGACTGCTTAAGGATTTTACTTCTGGTGTAGGATTACTGAATGGGATTTCACAGCCTTCATTAAAGGAGGTAGTAAAAAACTAATAGTGGTTCCTTTATCTCTTTTATTACAGAACGATGTGAGAGTCAAGTTTGAACATAGAGGTGAAAAAAGGTAAGGTGGGAACATGGGAAACAGTCTTGTTTTTTAACTATCTATAGAATTTTGTTGGGCTGCTGTTGTAACATCTCAAACTGTTCAATGTATTTCAGATATCTGACTGTATTTGGTATGAGTTTAAATTTAATTTTTATATGATCACAATTGAAGGAGAATGAATCTGTTTAAAATGTGGGCTCTAAGTATGCATAAAGGCAGAAGTATCTTACCGTAGCTATGTCCCGTGTAAGATCCTTCATTTGTTTACCCTTCAGATAGATGTTTGTAGCCTAGAATAATTACTTAGATCATTAACATAGATCTCAAATGTGAGTAGACCAGCAAATAATTTTTTTGCTGCATCATGTTGCATAATAAATGCAAGATAATATGTTGTTACTGTAACACCCAGAGGAAGAAGTCTAGATCTTAAAACTCAGTATTAGATTGTACTTTGGAGGAACCAATCTGAGAACTGTAATAGGAAAATGTATTGGACTTTATAAGTAGATTGGTTTAATTTATAATTTTGAATAATCAGTTAAAATTTATTTTCATTTCGTGTGTAAGAGGTGAGTGATGTACATGCTTAAAGTATACAAACATCTGTCTCTATCTCTGCTTTCATGGCTGCTCAAAAGCTTTTACAGAAGTTGATTTACATTTCTGTGCAGAACTGGTTTGTGGACAACTCATTTCGTCTGTTTGTCTCTTTCTGAAAGCACAGTCCTTCATTGTACCTACAGAGAAATGGTCATAGAATAAGATCTTTGAAAATACTTTATGAAAAAGGAAATAATATCCTGGTCACGGTATTTGCCAATAGAAATGGTAAATTACTTAGGAAAAAATGGCTTCAGAATGAAACCTGTGCTACCCCTGGGCAGTCCTTTGTGTGGTGTGCAATGGGTGAGGGTGTATCCGTGCTGATTACAGTGTGTACCTGCTCTTTACGTGTGGTGGTTAAATAGCTGTGAGTTCCATAGAAATCAACATTCTGCAGCTTCTTCCTATCCCTTTTCTGAACATCACATGTGACAGTGTATCAGTAGTGGTTGAGTGCTGTCAGTAATTTGGAGGAAGTAATTCTTTTCAAAAGCTTTGAAAATTGAGGACTCTTCTACCTAGCAATTTCTTGTGAAATAGGCGGAAACATGAATTTAAAACAGAAACTGTTTATTCCCTCCCAGTCTGCACAGACAGTGCATTTTCGCAGTTTATCTGAATTCACTTTCACAGTGGACTAAGTTAACCAATTTAAGTTGAGTACAAACATAAAGTAAGTGTGTGGAAAGATACCTTTCCCAAGCTTTCATGCTGATGGGCCTAGCTCTGTTTTGGGCTGTCCCAAGTAGCTGGGTGCTGGGCAGCACAGGCTCATTGCTCACCAGGAGTTATAATACTTTTGTTGCCTGAGCACGGAGATCTAAAGATAAAACAATGAAATTGTGCAAGAAAAATAAGTTATGCAATGGCTTTCTCACTAGTTTTTAAAAAGGGAAGTGGAAAAGAGAAGTGATTCCAGAGTTCCTTTCAGTAGTGAATGTGGCACTCCGTACCAAGGAGCGTGCAGCATGATGGGCAGAGTTCCAGGCTTGCTAAACAAATTTTTAACTACAGTGAGAATTGCTGTTGGCTTTCTGTTGAGGGTTTTGGTTTTTTTATTTTTTTTTCAAAGTAATTTTTAATTGGAAGTGGCTTGGCTTCTAACCTCTTTTCAGTGAGAAATACTCTTCCCTAACCAGTGTACCAACTGAAACACTGATAAAAGGAACTAATGTTCTGCTTCACAAAATTTGAGTGCTGTTTCTTTTTTGAATTTGAATTGAATGTACTCAATAACTTAGTCACTTCTCAAAACTTTTTTTTTGTTTAATGGTGTTGTGTCTCTAATAATACAATAGTTTCCATAGTAAGAGGTCAGTTTCAGGGATTTTGGGCTATTTGGTTTGATGAGACATTGAGTTAGAAGAAAATCCAAGTTGTTGACCTACAACTGCACCATTCTGACAGAAGCACACTTGAAGTGCAGTTAGTGATGGACTGAGCAGTTTGAGTGTGTAATTCATTATGGTAAAGATGGTGACATTTAGTTACCTTCCTCAGATAAGATAGTCTTTTGGATTTCCAAAAAATGGGGACTGTAGGAGTAATTCCCTTCTGATGCTTGTGCTTGTCAGCCTATGGTTGTCCATTGTTTTAGTTTTCTTAAGTAGAAAATTATAGAAGTTTGTATGAGTTTACCTCTGGAATAGAGGCATGCACAGCACAAAGTTAAGAGAGAAGCCATGTGCAAGCAACTAAAATACTCATAATGAAGATCTAATTTTATGTGTTATTGTCCCTTATGACTTTTTCACTGCTTTTTCTCTTTTTTTAATGAGTCAAAATATGGGGGACAGTGAGTAAAGCAAAGCCTCTTATGGTCTTTTTAGTAATAAATTTAATTCTAAGGTCATGCATAAGTAATAAGTTGCCAGATTTTCGTAAGTAATGGACAAAAATTCTTTATAACTTAAATTGTGTTTCAGGATCCTGCAATTACCAAGACCTGTTAAACTTGAAGATCTTGCAGCTAAAGCTAAAGTTGCTTTTGGACAGACTATGGATTTACATTACAGCAATAATGAGGTAGTATTCTGTGTCTTCTAAATTCTGTGACTTGTGCATTGATTATTTGAAGGCTGAAAATTGCTTTCGTAACCAGTGAGAACCACTCCTGTGACAAAACCCCAGATTTGTAATGTGTGTGTTCTCAAATGTGTAAAGCTTGTCTAAATTGGGATAAGCAGGAGATGCATAAAATGTTTTATGAGAAGAGTCATATATTAATGAGTTATGTCTCAGACTTGATTGGGAATGGGTAAATTGTCTTCTTGCTCTGCCACAGTCCTTTTGTGTGACTTTGGGGAAGTCTTTATTTCTTTGAGCTTTGTTGTGTTTTTATATTTTAACTAACACTTATCCTTTCTTGTACACTTTTTGTCTTTAAGGGTTAATTGTGTTAGTTAATTGCTAGAGTGCTTCATTTAGTAATGTTTAGATTGGAGAACTAGGCTTAATTGTTGCTTCTCTTAAAATGGCTGGTTTGCAAAGATTTCCTGGATATAGTGCTAGCGCTGTCAAGCCACTTGTGTCTGATCAATATTACTTCCAGCTTTCCTTTGGAAGTAGAGATGGAATTATTAGTAGGAAATATATTTACAGATGCAGGATCCATTCTTAGGATTTAGTTTTGGGTTTTGCCTTGATTCAGTGAAGTGTATGGAGGATTATTCGTGTGCTTGGTTATGCACAACAGAATTGCTGTATCTGATCTGCATCTTTGCAGAAGAAAATGCCTGTAATTGCTGTTTGTTGGTTACTCGCTGACTTACCAGGCCCTGCAGTGAAACTGATCCTCAAAATAAAGAACTCCAACAGAAGGATTTTGGAGATTAGGAAGGTCAGAAGAAATGGCTATTCATGATGCTTTAGGCTCAGCTCCTTCCTCTGATAGGTTTTGGTGGGGTTTTTTTAGGCATTTTCTGCTTCTCAGCTTCAGTACTAGTTGGCAAATCATCCCATCACCTTTCAGAAATGTGATGGTAATAACCTGTCACTAGCATTAAAACTTCAACTTAAAATGAAAAGTGCACTGATTTGTTATGAAGACCTTCCTCCCTCATTCCCATTTCTTTTTGCATAGAAGTACGGTATTTCAACTGACGTTGTATTTGAGCATCACTGACTGAGACTGTTTACAAGTGGAATAGATGTTTTAAAAAATCTATATTATGTTGTTCCTTTGTTACAGGCAGAAGTTGTAATTTACACTCCTGAAACATAATTCCAATTTTAATCGTTACAGAATTCAGATCTCAAGTGCTTTTTAACAGCATAACATTTTTCTGTTCTAAAGATACATGTATGACAAGTTAATTCTAGTTAATTGCATCCAAGTAAGATTCTAGTGAGGACTTCATGTGGATCACATCATGCCTGATACACTTCTGTGACAAATTCCGTTTTTCAGTGGAGAAATTCTGTTAGTGATGCAACTTCAAACAAATATAGTTGTATTATTGTGAGATACAAAAATATGCTTTATGCTTTATAAAATAAAGCTTATTTTTATCTTATAGACTTGTATTCATTTAGTCAGTGGCAAATACATTAACACTGTTGTACATTTCTCTGAAACTTGTAGGATATTAAGTTGTACTTGTGTAAAATGGTTGCTCCTTCATTGTGAAGACTTGTTCTACCATGCTGTACCTGTTGAAGGCATCTGAAGGAAGAGTTAAGGTTGAACTTCAGACATTTTGGTGCTAGCTTGAGGCATCATTTAATAAATTTTATTTTCAGTTTCTTTGGAATGAAAGAAAGATAGTTGCTTTGTTTCTCTGCACTGGACTTCCTAATTTCTTACTTGTGTCCTGTATAAGACATCTTTTTTTTTTTTTTTCCTTCTCCCCCTTTTTGTAGCTTGTAATTCCATTGACCACACAGGATGACCTGGACAAAGCTGTTGAACTGCTTGACCGTAGTGTTCATATGAAGAGTCTCAAGATACTGCTTGTAATACATGGAAATACACAGGTATGAGTTGACGTGCCAAACGTCTTTTTCCTCGGTTTTCATATTGAGGTATACTTTGTATCTTTTCTTCAAAATGATTTTTTTCCAGTTGAAAATACTACTGATTGTTTCTTCAGCTTGCTTTAAGCATCTGTTAACATTTTGTGTTGACTCGGTTTTAACTTTTTCCGAGATCTGGTACCTCTCTCTTTGTTTACCTTCCCTACAGTGGTAGAAAAGTGTTCCTTAATAGGATGATGATATGATACAAATTTGAGAAGTGCATAGAAGTTAAGTAACTGTACTTATTTAAAACTATGCCATATGTTGGTGACACTTCTTTATATTATGACAAGTTAAAAGTTTGTTGCACCAAATAGTAGCAGTGGACTATAGGCTAAATATTGAGTTATTCTGGAATTATCTAACACATCACAGCCATGATATTGATAGGATTTGTATACTAGTACCTACTGAAAATTATTTTGAAATATTAAGAATGAGGTACTAAGAGAGACTAATTTTTGTATGAATTGGCAAGCTTCTTTTTGACTGCTTGAAAAAAAGAATGTGCTGCACAAAGCCTGTAAAGTTTGAGAAGTATTTTCATTGTCAGGAGTATAAAGTAGTAACTGCAGTTTGTAATATGTATGCGTTTTCAGTCACCTAGTGTAAATAACGTGGAACCCTTGCCCTCACTGGAAGATTTAGATAATACAGTGTTTGGTGTGACAGACAGAAAAAGACGACTGTCTGTAATAGGTAAGCTGCATATTTCAATAGCTTTAGTTGTAAAAACTTTTCTTTTGTAATATTCTCTTCATTAAGATCTTGCTTTCAACACAGACTGCTTGAATTTCTCTTACTCATCAATGACTCTACTGTAGAGTGTGCACTTAGGGGAGTGGATTCTGAATTTTAAGTCAAAGTTGATTTAAATGTGTATAATACAGAAAATGAACCCCCAAACAATCATGAGTAAATAAATCTATGTAGAATTATTTGGGGTAATTAATGGGTATCCTAAACAGTTGATGTTAGTACTCCCCTTTATTTTCAGATACAGGAATGAGTTACTGAAAGATCTGTTTATTTACATGGCAGTGTGTTTCCTTGCTCAATTTAAGACTCCCATGTGTTTTTAATCTTAATGTGTGAACATTTGTTTAAGATACTTATTCTGGCATTGATACAACCTTTTTGTTATTCATGTTTTAATGTTGGTGTGATGTTAGATTCCAAATTTAATTATGAAACTAGAGAGTTTAATGAATAACTATTCAACCAATTGAATTCATTTATTATGCATTTATTATGAATAGAGGTATTCATGTTCTTGCAGACATAATATTCTACAAAGAAAAACTGAAATTCCCAAGAATTGGAAAGGACTAGTTGACATGGGTGGAAGGGTTTGGAATTTTATTTTGTTTCAGAAGGAGAAATTTACCCAGCTAGATGTGTGGGCAAATTATATTTCTGTTCCTGTATAATGAAAATTCTTTTTAATGCCATTGAGGCAACCCTGCCCCAAATTTTTTGTAATTCCTGGATTACAGATTTTGAACGCTATCAGTCTTGTATTGCATGGGCAATTGTGACATTTCTAAAGCAAGAAGTGATCCAGGCAGGCTCAGTGCTTATGAAGCATTTGAATAAAGCCCCTGGATTCCAGGTTAGTGAAGAGACTCTGACTAGCCCTTTCCTTTCAAAAGGTTCTAATACTCGTGACAGGAGTTCACCTCCCCCAGGATACATTCCAGATGAGCTACATCAGGTGGCCCGAAATGGGTCCTTCACCAGTATCAACAGTGAGGGTGAATTCATTCCAGAAAGTATGGATCAGGTACGTGTATGATTTAATAAAATTAAAGTTTTTGTTCAGTTGATTTATGAAATACTGCTGTTCAAGAAGGATATGGAATTGTTAGAAGAGCTAAGAATATGATGAAAATCCTAGAAGACATGATCTGTAAGAGAAGGTTAAAACAATTGTGGTTTAGTCTTGTAGAACCTGTTTTTTCTCTGTAAGTCTCTTCAATTATTTAAATATGTTGCTACAAGGAGAAAGATAACATTCTGAATTTCCATGATAGTTGAGTGAGGGAGTGATAGATATAAATTACAGTAAGAGATGTCTACATTAGAAAGCACAAACCCTTTCATTTTAATGAGAAGCATATGTGAGCAAGACCAGTTGTCCAGCTTTCCCAGGTAATTAAAGGAAGTTTTAAGAAAGAGTTTAAATCTGTCAGAATTATTTGGACTCGGTACTGTGTTGGGGGTAGAGGCAAGGGGATGGCAATGGGCCTGGTACAGATAAACTCTCTGAAATACTTTCCACAGTCACATTTTTGTGTGAGGATCACAGGTGTATGCTGTTTTGTTCTCCGTATTCACCTGCTTATTGGTGTGGAATATCAGCATGCTTAGCACAAGTGAAAATTCTGCTCTTTGAATATCAAATTTGCCCTTAAAAACGGCAGGAAAAGATGGAGTAATGTAATGGCTCACAGAATCGGCAATGAAGAAAGAGATATTTTAAGGAGGAAAAAAAAATAATGCTGTGTACCCAAATCACTTCAAGTTCTTGTTGACATTGGCTCTGTATTCACAAATGGCAAGAGGCAATGGTTTTTATGAGCTGACTAAATGAGACACAGATGATAGAATAAAAATAGAGGCAAAGAGATTGTGCAATTTGTTGCACAATTTTAATAACTGAGCTGGGAATAGAGACTGAATCTCTTAATTTCCAGATCAGGGTGCTATTCATTATCATAGCCACGTGGTCAGATCCAGCCCAGGCCTGGATTCATTCAGTGAAATAATTACTTTTGGTCTGGGCAAAGTCTGTTTTGGTCACTGACTGGTTAGATAGACAGATGGTCTCTGAAGCCAAAGGATATCTTTTCACTCCGGAGTATTCAAGAAACACGTAACCTGTCATGTACGCATTGCTGTGTAAGCTGTCAGCAGGGTTTTAATACAGTAATTTTACTTTCATAGGAAGCCAGGTTAGTTCAACCTAAGCAGCCTCAAGAGCCAAATTCGGGTGCTGGGATCTCACAACCTCAGTTTGCTCCCTTCCCCTTATGTTGCCACATCACCTTGGCAAGCGTTGACCATGCTGCCTACATCTGTCACAGCCTGCCCCACAAAGACAAGAAGGGAATTTGGGCATGGAGGGCTTTGCTCTGCGTTCCGGTTGATCTGCCTAAGCACAGCTATCCACACTCTGACAGCAGACCCCATGCTTCCTCTACAGAAGAGATGATGGGTTGGATAGAAGCGGGCCATGGTCTGCCAGTTGGACCATACTGCTTCAAGTTATAGAGGTAATTAATGTGGCAGCAGATGGGCTTTTTTCCCTTTTAGGACCCACTGCTCAGCACAAAAAAAGAGGAATATAATTGCTGAACCTGTGGTAAATGTTTTCCTTCCCAATAAAGAGTTAATTTAAGTGTGCAGAGTGCAAACTCACTTTCTGGACTCTATGTCCTTAGTAAGTCCTTGATTGATGCTCGGCAAAGTATGCGTCCAGGACCTTTAAGATGCAGCACAAACCATACAAAATGGAGGGGTAACTGCTAAATTTACAGCAAAAGACTGGTCCAGTTCATAGAAGATGATAGATGTTATATAAAGTACCAAAACAAACTTTATTTTAGGAAGGAGCTCATTTTAAGACAACAGATTAGCTTTCCACTCTGTTTTTGAGAGGCAGGCTGGTAAAATCGTCACATTCAGTAATTCAAAATTTAGATTCTGTTGTCACTTCTGAAAAATAGATCTGTAAAACACTTCAGAGTGTTTTACTGCAGAAAGAAAGGAGTGATGTTTGCCTGTTGTTAAAGTTAAAACTTTTAAAGTAGTCTTGCGAGATAAAACAAAATGTCAGCCAATAGAAATAGCTGGTAATCAAGAGGATATCCTTGATTATCAATACAATTCTTTTTCTCTGGTTTAGAGTTTGAGAAACAGAAAGTGCTGATGATTGTTTTCATGATGTAATAGATCTGGCCTAGACAGTCAGTTTTATGACTGCTTCAGACATGCGTGGCAGACTTCACAAAGCTCGTGAGCATCAACTGCTAGGTTGTCAGAAGTGTTTTAAGGAAGGAAAAAAAAAACCAAATCTGTCTTTGGTGTTTTCATAAACTCCAGTTTCACATGAAAGTTTGTTTTGTTTGAAACGGGATTTTGGTCTGGGTGAAAAGGGAGAGTGTTTTTAAGTTTTATGCATTCTCCTGCTTTCTGCCTCCCCTTTCGCTTCAGTTCCATTTAAAAATCTGCGTAACTTGATTGGAGTCCTAACTAGAGATAAATGTTTAAAAGCTTTTTATGGTATTTGGTTTGAGCTGTTTTCTGTGACTGCTAGTTGGCCAAACTTCAGCCACAACAGAGATTATATAAATTGTATTCATTATAATCTGTGCCATATTTGAGATTTTTTTTTTTCTTTGACGACAAGAAAATCCACTTTTTTTAAATTGCCTCAGCTTTTTAGCCTTTAGAGGCCTTATTTTTGTTGCTCTGTTAAGCTAGTCTCATGCAGATATTGCTATAATATTAAGAGACAATGGTGTATACAGGAAGAAAGTAGCAGTGCAACTTGTCATGTACAAGGCATGATAGAGGATTCAATACCTGAACTAGATTCTAGTTAGACGCAAGAAGAATGGCGGAGTGCTTTCAGGATTGCAGAATACACTGCAGGTTCAACTATGGCAGCTATCTTTTTCTCTAGTAGTTAATATTTCTGGCTTATTTTTATTTTTTATTAGGCATTTCAAAGCGGAAACCTTCAAGTATTTTTTTCTTAAATAAAACAAAAAAAACTTGAACTTGTTGGTCTTTCTCTGTTCATTGTTTATTAGATGCTGGATCCATTGTCTTTGAGCAGTCCTGAAAACTCTGGCTCGGGAAGCTGTCCCTCACTTGACAGCCCTTTAGATGGGTAAAAATTACCTACGTTCATTATTTACCTTTATTAGATTGCATAATGTATCAGTAATAACATACAATAACTCTCCAGCAACAGCTATTACTCAACTTCTTCCAGAAATTCCTCTGTAAGTGATAGAACATTTATAAAAGCCTATTGAAACTTAACTGTGTACTAATGCATGGAAAATAGAAGTAGATGTCTTTTTTTTAATGTAATTTGCATTTGAAACAGAAAAACTTAGACTTCAGATCCTACAAAAATGTTCTGAAGATTTTTTTACTGAATTTTTCCAGTCTTACATATATGTGAAGTATATTCTCTGCCAGTGAGCCACCCCATCGTAGTTATGTTTCTTAGGTACTGCTGTATGAAGTAAGCTTCCATTTTCCAAGGTAGAACGTACCCACTTCACGAATGAGAGTACAATCGTGTAAAGACTTCAACAGACAGTCCCCTCCTTTTCTTGGCAGTAGTTGTCCGTTCCTCTCCCCTTGTTCCCATTGCAGACTTTCCACTTATTTTCTTTGTTTAAACCTGTCTGTTAGCAAGAGGCAGCGTGTGCTGTGGTGGGTCTGGAGATCTGTTTTGATTCACTTGTTAGGAGATTCATGTGTTTTCAGAGGTTCATTGTCCACAGTTTCTCAGTGACCAGGTTAGCCCAACAGAACATACTCCTGTTTGGCTTATGGTTGCTCAGGCAAATAGCCTTGGGTCTCACATTGCTGAGAATGGCTACTCATTTATTTGGACCTGCTATACAAATAATACTGCTAATTAAATATTTTATTTAATTGGTCGGAAGGTAAAAAGTTGGAAATCATTGCCTGTGGCAATTAATTAGTGCTATAGTGTTCCATAGTACCATTTCATTTGAAAGTATATAACTTGAGGACACAGATACATTTGGTCTAACAAATAAATTTTTGAGTAAATAATGAGTCTCTATTTCACAAGCAAGAAAACAATAGACATGAAAAGTATTTTGTGGTTGGAGTGTGATAGGTTATACACACACAGTGTTTAATGTAGCTATATAGGATAGAAATTCTACCAAATTGCTAAATTTTTAGGTTTTTGTGGGGCAGAGGTGAGCAGAAGAAGGGAAAACAAAGCAATCTTAAACTCATAATATTTCTTCAAATTTTTTTTTGCTTGTTTTTTATTTACTTCATTTGTCACCTCTACTTAGTTTGTTTTCCTTTTTTTTTTTTTTTTTTTATTCAAATTTTTTTTTTTTTTTTTCATTCAAATATTTCCTACAAAGATGTAGGTTTTGTGTCTCCATTTAGCTTCTGTTACCCATTAGAGAAATTCTTACCAGAAAAAGGAGGACATTGTTTTGGTATGTTTATGGAAATGTACTGTAATCAGTTGCTCTGACTGGCAATCCCATCCATTCCTTTTGGTGGCTGGGAGTTACATACCAACTGTAGGTAAGAAACAATGTGATCTCATAAGAACCAAAAAATTCCTCATCATTCTATAACTCAGTAAAATTACTCTCTAATCCTATGACTTTCATGGAGAGAAGAGGAAATAATTTGAGACGTTAAAAGGCTCTGTGTTTCTTCGGTTAAATTTCCTCAAGAGTTTTTGTAGGCTGTATGAGAGATTTTGCCAGTCTATAAACTTTTGTGTTTAGCCATAAAGTTGTTAAAAGTAACAGTGCTTCTTTGTGCCTTTACTTACCATAATTCATGTTTTTACTAATATCATTGCTCATTAACACAGTCTGTTGCTTTCTTATTACATTGAGCTCAAAAAGTAAGCTTTTCCATTGTTATTGATGTTGAATTATTACTGATACCTATTAGATTTGATTTTCAAAATTAGGTTCCACGTAACAGGTGCAGCAGCTTGTATAGCGATAATTTTTCATCAGTCGTAAAGAATTGTGAGACAGTAAGATTGAATGTGTAAGTACTAGATAAACAGCAGTTTTTAGATACTGTATGTTTTTACACTTCCAGAGACAACTATCCCAGATCTCGGATGCCAAGAGCACAGAGCTATCCAGATAATCATCAGGAATTCTCAGGTAGGCAAAATCACTGGACATACCAGCTTTCCAGAACTCTTCCTCTTGCCAATCATAGAGCTTAGAAGGGAAGTTCCCATTGAGAGGTATTATATTACACAAAATTCATATGGTAGGAGAAAAACAAACCAACAAAATCCAATCCAAATGCACACAGTAAAAGACACAATGAAATATAAGATCTTCCAAATGGATTCTTATGGATTATTGAGTGTAACACCACTGTTAGTGTATGTGGTATTGTGGTATAACATATCTGCTTCTTTGAAAACAGCAAATGATACAGTGCATAGGGACACACAACCGTTTGTTAAACTGCACTGTAATGTCCATCTCTAAGTTGGCGCATAATCTTGGTTAATTTATTTAATGTTACAGTGTTGTGGCTTAACCCCATCAGGCAGCTACGTACTGCACAGCTGCTCACTCACTCCCCCACAGTGGGATGGAGAAGAGAATCAGAAGGGTAAAAGAAGAAAACTTGTGGGTTGAGATAAAGATGGTTTAATAGGTAAAGCAAAAGCTGCACGTGAAAGCGAAGCAGAATAAGGAGTTAATGTACAGGCAGATGTTTAGCCATTTCTAGGAAAGCAGGGCTTCATCACACCAAATGGTTACCTGGGAAGACAAACGCCATAACTCTGAACATTCCCCCTTCCTCCTCTTTCCCACAGCTTTTATTGCTGAGCACAACCTCTTGTGGTATGGGATATTGCTTTGATCAGTTGGGGTCAGCTGTCCAGGCTGTGTCCCCTACCCACTCCTTGTGCACCCCCAGCTTCCTTGCTGGTGGAGCAGGGTGAGAAACAAAAAAAGCCTTGACTCTGTGTAAACACTGTTCTGCAATAACTAAAACATCCCTGTGTTACCAACACTGTTTTGGTCACAAATCCACAACATAGCACCATACAAGCTATTATGAAGAAAATTAACTCTATCCCAGCCAAAACCGGTACACGTAGCCTTCATTTTCTCCTATGTGAAATCAAGATCCGTTTGAAGTGCTCATGACTTCTGTAATTGAAAGCACTGCAAAGTGAAAGGATGAAGCAGAACTGTGTGCTGTGCCTGTAAATTAATCATCACCACTAATGTCGTTTTCATACAATACTCTGGCTTGAATCCAAGTCGGCGTGCTCGGCTCAGGATACAAAGTGCAATGGGTAACACTGAAAGGGCTTTGAGGTGTCTCTCATGGACATGCCTCACTACAGAATTTTGCTGTTGAACAATAATTAAGCTTCCAGTGCATCTGGGGTCTTATGTGTTTTTTGGTCTATTGTATACTTTATGGCTTCATTTTATTTTGTTTATGAAACTTTATGCAGTTAACTGTGTGATGGTGTGTTTTTTCTTTTAAGGATTCTAGAGTGCTTAACAGATTGCACCACTTTTAAATGAAAATAAAACTGAAACTAGGTATAAGAAGCCTTTTGATGGCAGTGATAAATTTCAAAAATGTTGGAAATGTCAAATTAGTTTGTGTTTGGTAACCTTAATCTAGTTTACTTGTGTATATTTATTATGGTTACTTTTCTAGTAAGATGATCTTGCAATATTTTTCTCTGTCTTCCTGTGGGATGCTCTGGTATTTCAACAATGGGACAGATGACTATCATTAATTCCATATTCACTATTTATTCTCATAATTTGATGTGTAAATAATGCAATAGTATATAGAGTCAGAAAAAATGTCCATCTGGCCTAGTCTTTTCTCCTGCCACAACCAATACTAGGCTTCTCCAGAGGAGTGTGTAGTATTCCGTCCTCAGAATATATTCCTAGTCACGTGTGGCTTAAGGGTGCTGCAAGTGCAAGATGCTCTTCTGTGAGGTGATGTATTTTTTTTTCCCTTGCACAAATTTTTCCCATCCCTATTTCAACTTGTATAAACTTCTTCAGTATCAACAGTGTATTGTGACAAGGTATTTGTGCAACTTATTGTGTTACATGAAGTGTGCCGTTCATGCTTTTTTTTTTTTTTTTTAACCTCTGTCTCCCTTTGAGCTGTGGCTTTTCTAGACCGGGGAGCCCTACGTTCCTTAGAGAAGCAATTTTGTATCTTTGATCATCTTTATACTTATAAATCCTTTCCAGTTTTGCTAAATCCTTGGAAGTGGAGTAGGCAAAAACTTTGTTCAGTATAGCTTTATGATTTATAGCATTTAATTTCCTTTTTAGGCAGTACAGAGCGTTCAGCTGCTGCTTTATTGGAACTCTCTGTCACAATCCTTTACGCTAGCCTACATTGAATTTCATCTGCCATTTTCACATCCAGTCACATAAACCCTTAAAGGCTTTCTGTAATTCTTCTGTTGGCTTTATTTCTCAAAATGATTTTGTCACCTCAGTATTCATTGTTCTGTCCAGAGAATTTATGCATAATTAAACTGCATGAGTTATAGCCCAGATTCCTGTGGAACTGTTGACCATTTACTCCCATCTTACCTTCTTATCTTCTAACCAATTACTTATGCATGAGGGACTCTTCCCTTTATCTTATGAATACTTTTCTCTTTTAATAATTTTTAAAAAAGGACCTATTGAATGTGCTTTAGTAATTCAAGCTGTGTTGACATGTTCACCAATTTTTTGTATTTATGCATCTTTAAATTTTATGGTTTGTAAGAGTTTCTGCCAGTTTTGCTGGTGAACAGTGGTTTCCCACAATTCTTCTAGAAACTATTTTTAAAACCGGAGTAATTGGACATGCTGCAGTCCTCTGACATTCTTTCAAGCAAAAGGTTGTGAACCACTTGAGCTACTGAATTCTTGATCCTTTGAAACTTTTGGCTGAAAGTCCTTTCAGTTCTTGTGATTTGTTAATTTGTGGCTTTTGTCCTGTAATCTTTTTTAAGCTGATGCTTCACCTTGAAGTATATCCTTTGATATGTTCCCCCATGTTTTAAGTTTATAATACCAAACTGAGTAATATGATGTGCTTTTGTTGCTTTTTAAATTTTGAAATGCATCTTTTTATTTTCTAGTAGAGTATGATATCCCGATATTTGAGAAATTTGGAAAGGGAGGGACTTATCCTCGAAGATACCATATTTCATGCCATCAACAAGACTACAATGATGGTAAGTGTGAATAGTACAAGAGTTCTACTTTATTAATCTGTTTTTCTCTTCTTAAAACGCGAAGAAGGAAATTTACATTGTAAAATCTTAATGAATGAAAATATTGAAGAAATTGAAAACTTAACTTGTTTCCCAAACTCACTTGCTAAACTTCTAATGATTGATAGAGCTGCTGAGCAGTCTCCCCTCTGGTAAAGTTACGGATTACAGAATTCGTGACTCATATGCACAGCTGTGAAAATGTTCTCTATCTTTGGCCATGCAGTCATCCAGTGTAAGCTTTTGATCTTTGTAACCCTTTTCTATCCAAAATAGGTATGTCAGTTTGTCATTTCTTGTTTTGCTTAAAAAAAGCCCAAATGCAGTGGAGTTCCTATTAACAGCTTCTCAGATTGAAAGAGTAAATAAAATTGAAGAGCAGTGATTTAAACCAAGAATTAACAATTAGCTGGTGAAATCGATTGTTGGAATGCAAAATAGCACCTGCTGATGTGGCCACGGAACTGATTTGGACAGCAATAACATAGATGCAAATTTAACCCATGTTAAATGTCCAAAGAAAGCAAATAGGAGCAGCTGAAGGATTGTCTGACTTAAGGGTGTGTGAAGCACTAGTTGAGAAGTGTTAAGAAGAAACTTTTCCGAAGACCAGATGGTTTCATTTGCAGTATGGAATGAGCACAGCAATAAACGGAATTCTGTTACAGAAATTGTGGAAATACCAAACTGAAGGACCGCAAGGCAACTTCGGTCCAGTCCCTTGCTCTAAGGCAACATTGAAGAGCAAAGATCTGTAAACTCTAAATTGTCTTGAAGAGAAGAGATACTCATTTTCAATACATAACTAACTTTGAAGATAGCTTAGCTTACAACTTACCTTCCACTGTCTTCTAAGTTGTTTTTCCTGCAAATGAAACTAGTAACTAGTTACTCCATTTTAACACAGTGAAAAATTGGTCGCTGCCCATATACAACACTACAACATCACACAGATCTGTTTTCTCTCCTTAGTTTTATTCTTTCAGGCCTTAAGCCTTACCCTCAGACATTTTTGCAAGCCTCTTTGTTTTGGTTTGGTTTCTTTTTTTCTTTCCCTCTGGTCTCTTCGCCATTCTTGTAGTGGCCAAAACCCAAGAGAGTACTGTAGCTGAGGCTTTTCTCATGGCCACTTTATGTAAAACATAGGATATAACCATAACTCGGTATGTAACAGTCATGTTAATAAATTCCAGAATGACACTTCGCTTTTTTCATAGTCACCATACTGACTGCTGTTCAGTTTGTGGTCTACTATGGTTCCTATATCCTTTTTTATATGATTTTTAGCCAACCCATTACTTTATACTTCGTAGTTTCTGCATTTGATTTCTCTTTAAGTATGTATGTTGTGCTTCCTTACTGAATTTCATCTTGTTGATTTCTGAATCATCTCCAACTTACTAAAGTCATGACAGATTTTGATTTTATGTTTAAATGGACTTCCAGCCACACTTAACAGATGTCATTGGCAGTATTTCAGTGTATTATGTTCCATTATATGTACGTCATCAGTTAAAATAGTGTATGGAAGTGGACTGAAAGTAAACTGCTGTGGGTGTCCGCTTAAATTATCCTCCTCTTTGAGAAATCACTGATAACTGCTCTCAGTCTTTCTTGGGCATACTCAACATAGTGAGCTGGTCTATGCAACACTTCACTAGTTAACTTATGAGAACGTTACAATGAAGTGGGGAAACTGGATTAGCTACATGTGACAAACCAATTATGGGTGGTTTATCACTTTATTATCTTCTCAGTGGTTTATAAAACTGCTTAATAATTTGTTTACATATCTTTCTTGGAATTTAAATTGGCCAGACTAGTATATAAATCTGAGTCCACTTTTTCAAAGATACTTTATCTACCATTTTTCAGTCCCTTGGGAGCTCCTCCTCCAGTGTAATATGTAATGAATCAGAGACTCCTTCAGCTGTGGGAGTTCTGTAGGATGAAACTTCATCAGGCTACACTGACCTAAAAATGTTTGTGTTATCTAAATATATTAACATCAATTGTGTTCGTCACCTGGTTGTAATTAACCTTTTTTGAAGATCAGTGCCTACCCCCCTCCTTTTTTTTAATTTATTCTAATGCTGCAGCCATCTCTGAATTATGCACTGTGTGATTTCCCTACCCCCCCCTTGGTCTTTGTCTTGATTCCATGTGTAGGTCTTTGCATTCAATATTCATTTACGGGACGAAGATGCCAGCTTGGGCACCACTGGAATGTAAATGTGTCTCTCACTCCCCTATTTATCAGAAACTTGGTATTTACACCTTAATAAAGCAATAAAAGTAAAGGCAGAGCATTTTTCTTTCTCCTCTTACAGCTCTCCAGGTTTCTGCAGCACGTTGATTACATTTCAGAACAGTTCCAGAATTTGGTCCCAATTTTGGTCACTAAAATGTAATGTAAATCAGTTTTTGATTCAGTCCAATCCTTACATACATTTGTGATGAGAGTTTGTTTTCTTCTATGTGAAAAGTTAAAATAGTAAATTTCATGATCATTACATCATATCATAGATGCTGTGGAAGATTTGAACTATATTCTTTGGAATTTCATAAAGTATTTGCATACGCACATTACATAGCAATATTTTTTGTGATGTAACATTAGTATTCTTTGTATATCACTTAAGGTCGTAAAACTTTTCCAAGAGCCAGAAGGACTCAGGGGAACAGCTTCCGATCACCAGTTAGTTTCAGTCCCACTGATCACTCGCTGAGCACCAGTAGTGGAAGCAGTGTCTTCACGCCGGAATACGAAGATAACCGAATGAGGAGGAGGGGGAGTGACATAGACAATCCCACCTTGTCAGTCATGGACATCAGCCCACCCAGTCGCTGTAAGTTAAGGCATTTTGTAAACTCCACTGTAAAACTCTCTTACTTTTCAGGTATATTGTGTCAAAACTAAGCGTGTCATCAAAATACATGCAATTGAATAATATGTTTTTATCTGTTTAATAGGAAAATGTCAAGACTGCGTGCTCATCTTTTCTTTCGTTGCTTACTGTGCCAATCTTCATGTAGATTTTCACACATTATTTGCATCTGTAATAACAAAGCACTCTAAAAATATTTTTGATGATTTATTAGACTCTTGAGGACCCGAGAAGGGTTATGTAGGTTGCAGTTACTATTTATTTTTGCAGATGTTGGTCAAGTTTTTTGAGAAGTATACTTTCTGATGACTTCAGTAGCTGGTACATTTTAATCATGCCTCGATTTTTAAAAAATACTAACAAGTTTGTTTAACATGCGTTTTCTGTTTTTCAGATTAGCTGTTGCTAGTTGTTTTAAGTGTGTCTGTCTCTAGCACAAGTTATTTTGTGAATAAATTTAAGTAGCTCATGTTTCCCGTCTTACAAGAAGTGTTATTGATCTGTGTGACTTATATAGGGAGGTTTAGGACTCACAGTCTCTGTTGTTGAAAAATGTAGTCTTTTAAAAAATTACTTTCTGTGTATTCCAGTTTTTCTCGATCAGCTGAATAGCAGGCTCATTTGAAAACCAAAACATACTTATATTTTCAGCACCACGAGCTCCAACTAACTGGAGACTTGGTAAACTGCTGGGTCAAGGTGCATTTGGCAGAGTATATCTGTGTTATGATGCTGATACCGGAAGAGAACTGGCTGTTAAACAAGTTCAGTTTGATCCTGATAGTCCAGAAACCAGCAAGGTAAGTGATACCAAAGAGAGAGTTTGTAAAGGGCTTCTGCTGAAGTGGTGTGTTCTAGACTAGACTGATGTTCCTTTCCTTGAACAGGATGATGTTTTAAAACGTGTTGTGTTTTCATATCCTTGTTAGGCATCCTACTTTGTTACTACCTCAGACAATTAGTTAGGTTACCTGATTTTAATGTTACATCCTGTTTTTTATTCAGACATATCCTTATGCAGTGAACATATATAACTTAATTTGGTGTGGTCTCAGTCTCTAAAATTAAACAATCTGTTATGAAGTGTGCTCTGAAATAGATAATCATTTATACTTACAGGAATTAGAACAAGTTCCATTTATAAACAGAAAATCTGTACTAATTTAAATGTTCCTGAAAATAAATTCTTGAGGATATTTTGTTTGGCTGTGGAGATAGTTTGAGATTCTTATCTTTTTTTAACTTTTGGAGGGATTTGTTTTTTTGTTTTGTGTTTGGTTTTGAGTTTTGTTTTTTTTTTTAAACTTTGGGCATCAGGGCTAACTACTGTTACTTGCTGTATTTCTTTCTGAAGAGCACAAGTTTCATTGTCAGCTTATTCTCTCTGAAATTGAACTCGCCTTTTAAATGCTGGACACTTGAGGAGAGAAGCTATTTAAAGTAGCACTGAGCTTCTGTTTGTTTTTTACCAAACTGTACTTGCTACTTTTTACAGGATGGAAAAAGAATTATTACTTTTCCTGCATTAGGACTGCGTTCTGCATTGTGGGGAGCAAGGCTGGGGAAACAATGGGTGTAAGCATGACTGCAGAACTGAGTGGCTACCAGTTATAGTTGCTGCTACTAGTGATGTAGGATCAAGGAAAAAACCCAAGAATCATTTGTGCTGTAGCTTTCTAGTGTAGTTGTTGTTGCTACTTCTTTAAAATGTAACAAACCAACTGATTATGCTTTGGAAATGTTAAATATAAAATACTGTAGTCTCTCCTCTAGCAACAGTTTTCATGACCTCAGTTGCCATAGCATTTTGTAATGTGTGCCTCTCAGTGTCAAAAAATCTGTTTTCCTTCTAACCTTGGAAGCGTGAGGGTATCAGTAATAGTCTGTGACTGGTAAGAAGTAAGTTTTGCTGAAAGACTTCTAGGTGAAATTTGGAATCCAGTCAGGTTTGAATTTGTGGGTTAGTATTTTTCCAGCATCGTACCATACAGTCCATTTCAAAACACCTTACCTTCTGTTCACAATTTTTTTAGTATTTCAGATAGCTCTAGAGAAAGCACCATATGTGTTAATGTTGTTCTTTGTTGTATTTCATTATTACAATATTAAGTGGTCCTCAAATGCATTTTTAAAGTGTAGTCTGTCATCTTGGAAAAGTTAAGAATTAATGCTAATTATTCCACTACAAAGATGTAAAGTGTGGGGTTTTTTGTTAGTGTGGTTTTTTTACCCCCCATCGAAGGCTTGTGATATGTTGCATAATGATCATTGACTTCATACGCATATTGATATCTGCTGTGCTCTGAAACAAATGTAACCTCAGAAGCAGAGACACAATGAAATAACAGCAAGATCATCCCAAAGTCAATTTATAGAAAAGCCATAGGTTTTTTTTTTACTATCCTCAATATAATGGTGATATTTTCTTGTTATAAAATGTATAAACTTTACATAAGCTACAAGAGTATTTTGTTACTTAGTTTGCATAACTCTTCTAATATGTACATACTGTCCTGCTTCAAAAAAATCCAAATACAAAAGGTTATTATTACTACATCAAGCATGGTAAATCTTGTCTGTTTTAGGAAGTAAATGCACTTGAATGTGAGATTCAGTTGTTGAAAAATCTGCTGCATGAAAGAATTGTTCAGTATTACGGCTTCTTGAGAGATCCACCAGAAAGAACACTCTCTATATTCATGGAATATATGCCTGGGGTAAGCAAGAGAGCCAGTCCACTTCAGCCATCGTTTCTACTTGGGTACTCGTCATATTGCGTAGACAGCTTTTGCAGAATTGCACACAGATGTTAAAGAAATGTCCAAGTTAAAAACAGTAGCCAAAGGTGGCTGCTGACAAGTGCTTACAGGAACCTATCTTCTCCATTGCTCGTTTGGGTTTTCAGAATTAGTGGTGTGTACAATAGCTATTTGCATTAGATTTTGCCATAAAAAGTGCCTGTCTTTGAAAAAATAGTATTGTCATCAGCAAACTCTTGAATCTTCCTGAATGTTAGTGTTGCTTTTTGCTGCCCTTCAGCTTGTGCTGTTGTGTAGTCAACATCTCAAATGCTCAATTATTTCAGCAAAACAAAAAGTAGCTAAGATGGGTGTGAGAATAAGTGCATACAGAAAATATTCTTGGTGCTTGTTTTTCACAGGGCACTTAGGCCCATGCTGAACTGGTCTTCTACCCTTTTGTTAAGAAATATCATAAGGTCAGAAAACTGTAGATTTTCATTTTCTCACCAAGTGGGGTCAGCAGAGCTAAACAAAATGTGCTGGTATAAAAACATAGGCTCTGTATTTCTGCATAGTTAGAACATTCTGCTTTACTGTGAGACTCCAGAGAAGAAAAACAGTGTGAGGAGGTTGGTGGTGGTGGTTTTTTGGTTTGTTTTGGTTTATGAGAGTTCTGTGCTTTGTTTTGGGGGGCTTGTTGAATGTTGCTGAGATTTGGAGGACAGTGTCACAGAAGTAATCTTGGCAGTTTGTAACTGTGTGACAAAGCCAGGTTATACACAAACAGTTATTTTTGATTTAATGTCATTTTAAGCCAAGACTTGCTTACCTCTTCATTTTTACATAAAGCAATGTCCTCCAGTATGTGGTGTTTTTTTCTTGACAACCTTTTTTTTATTTTTCCGTAGTATAAACTAACCAAGGTAAATGGCATGTATTTTGTCCAACTTGAGTATTGCCATTTAACCATCAAAGAAGTGGACAGTGGTGTTTGAGCGAAAATACTGCTGTTCTATTTTTCTGTATGTCACACTGGAACTATTTAGCTGCTTGGTAGTTTTAAAATTAATATCTTAACATTTCATTATATGACTTCTCTGTCCAGACTCTTTTTGTGTCAAAGTTTGTATTTTTCTCAGTGGAGGTAAAACTATATCTGTGCTTTTAAGTTGATCTAGAGAAGGATTGCAACTTTACATGTCTATATTTCAGGCATAAATTTCCTTGAAGTTCAACTGTATTATTAGCCCTCTTGTGATGCTAGAAATGTTAGTGTTTCATACTTGTTGTTTGCCTTAGGGTTCCATCAAAGACCAATTAAAATCATATGGAGCACTCACAGAGAATGTGACTCGTAAATACACGCGGCAGATTTTGGAAGGAGTTCACTATTTGCACAGTAATATGATTGTCCATCGAGATATTAAAGGTAATGATAGTTCTGCGTACAGTTCAGTGCTCCTTACTACAAATTCTTTTCTAGTCCTGTGTGAAGCACTAAAATGTAACTAAGTTTGAAATGCCAAAATACTGACTTAATGAGATTGCTTTCCATTTCCACCATTTATTTCTGTTGTAACCTGAGGAGGAAAAAATAAGCATTTTTGTGATGTTCTAGTAGACTTCTGAAAATGTTTCTGTAGTCTCTGTCTGCAAAAAAATCATGATAAATTTCTTTCTGGTTTTATTTTAGTATTAATAGTTTTTAATATATCAAAGGGTGATGCCATTGGAAATAGATAGAATGCACAGAGGAAAGCATAATGACTCGGAAGTTTATTTTTACAGACTTTTGTTTCTGTCAGTTACATAGAAATTATTCAGCACTTCACAGGTGTAAGAAATGACTGGCAGAGGTGACTTGCCCGATCAAATGACTGGGACTTCTTCCATCTTACTGGCAGGAAACCTGAGGAAACAGACATGTTTACTTTTTGCAGATAGATATAGGTGCCTTGCAAGTGCTGCATAAGCAAGTTACGAATATGTAGGAAGATGGTGATGTGCAAAATAGGTGTGTTGAACACAGTGCTGTTGTATTCCCTAAAACACTTACAGATTTCCTGTTGCTTTGTATCAATAGTGTTTTCTTCCAAAGCAGGTTGAGATATTGAGATATCCTGGTCAATTTGTACATGCTTATGCAGATAAGTGGAGCAAATCTGTAACACGGTCTGAGATTTTGCTTTAATATAGTATGAAGGCATTTTTAGTTGTGTGGAAACTTCTTTCCTGTTTCTTTTTATTTCCTGTGTATGGCACATTCCTTATTTTGTCAGGAAGCCTTTACAAAGTGACTGAGGCTTCCCAGAAAAGGCCTAGGATGGAAACCAATGTGTACAATTTGTTATTTTCTGAACCTCAGAATAAAGTAATAGGAATGAGCAGAGAAAATAAATTCTCTGTCTTGAAATGCTAGGCTGATCTTGCATTGTGTCACTGAATCCAAACTTTTGTTACCATTTTCCACACCAAAATGTCAGCAGGCCTTTCATGAATGTAATGCTGCATTCCATTCGTTCCAGGAGCAAATATTCTGCGAGATTCAGCAGGCAATGTGAAGCTCGGTGACTTTGGTGCCAGCAAACGACTGCAGACTATATGTCTCTCTGGTACAGGAATGAAGTCTGTCACGGGAACTCCATACTGGATGAGTCCAGAAGTTATTAGTGGAGAAGGGTACGGCAGAAAAGCAGATATCTGGTATGTTTAGAAAAAACTTCTCTGCTGAAAGGTCTCATGTCAGAATGGGTTCTTTTTCAACAGTGTGTTTGTTACCCGGAGTTGGAATGTTTCATTCTGGGGTTTGAGCTGGAGAAGGTGGCAAGTGTGAGCACTGACAGTCACGTTTGGAAAGTGTAACACTGCAGTTTGGGATTTTTCATTTGGCAATTCCTCAGCCCATTGATTTAGGATCATAAGAGAATCCTTTGAATTGACCTTGCATGAAGTTAGCATTACCAGACTGTAAATCCTGGAGAGGTACTGGGTGAGAGCAACATGAGAAGCTTTGAAGCATCAGTTAAGCCAACGTCCGGTAGTGAAATTTTATCACTGAAATACCTTTGATGCAAGGCAGAGAATGAAAATCTGGTCCTTTAAAAGATGAGCACGTAATAATGAATTAGCCAGATCTAAGTGGGAGTATCAAAAAATAATTTGGTTTAAGCTGTTATTAAATATTTAAGAATTAAGAGAGAAAGGTACATTTCAGAAATGAATGCTTGTGATACGTTGTGTAATATGACATAGTCTAACATAGCTCCAGCTCAGTGGACAGATGATTTTAGCGATTAGTCTCCTTACACTGCAGGTGATCTGTGAACACACAGAATAATAGGTAGGCAACAGTAGATATGCAGGCATAGTAACACTTTGTGTGTTTACAAAGGAACCACACTATATCCAACCAATGGCAATACTTTTAATGTCAGGGAAATTAATTTAGCCTACTTGAGTAAGTTACTTAGTAATTTTTCTGCTGTATTTGAATAATAGAACAACCTTACAGATTTCAGGCAGTTGACTTGTTCAGCTTTGAAGTATTTGCACCAAGGCTAATACTTGTATTTTGATGGAGAAAGTCCTAGTTAAAACTAAGAAAAAATACTGGTTTGAATTCTGTCAGTCAGTAAATCCTTATTGTGTAAAGAAATGTACCCATAAAACTTATTGCAAGCATCTTGAAAAACCATAAAACCTCCTGAGAATGGGGAAATTATTCCAGCCTATCCATTTTGCAGTATCATTTGCATATTACTGGAAGAGGCTGATCTTGCAGTAGTTATAGAACAAAGTTTTTCTGGCCGTATGCATGCCCTTCTGCCTTCCAAAGTCCTTTAAACAGAAGCTTTGTATTCAAAGATTGTTTTGGATCTTAAAATTGTTTTGCAATCTGAGTCTATTTGTAGTATTCTTAACTCAAAGAAGATGATACCACTGAAGTATGGTTTTAAACTTTTCAACTGCCGTGTTATGTTTTTCACATTATCCATTGGTGATAACTTGTGCATTTCTAATAAGGTAGCAATATAGACAGGGTCCTCAAAGCATTCCTGTCGCTTTGCATTTGTTAGGCCTTAACGAGCAAGAACGCTTTCGAGTGCATTCAAACCCTGCTGGTGTCTGAAGAGCCGGGGTCCAAGGGTTGCCCAGCCCTCCTGGCCTGTTACCAGCCCCGCACAGCGGCAGTGCCATAACGCGGCTGGCGTTGCCTAGAGAAACAGCTGTCAGCTCTTTGCTGAGGCAGTAGCTTTTGGCCCAGTGAGGTAATAAAGTGAGGATGTAGGTAGTGATTTGTGTAAATGAGATAAAGCGGATAGCTGTACGTGCAATTGTTTTAAACGCCTGTTTTCCGCTGGAGTTGCTCTGTAGAGTTAAGTGGACACTAGTTATTTGCAGTGTTTTAGTCGCTCTCTGCTATTTCTTATTTTCCTAGAAGGGCATGACTCTGTTGTAACCTGCTGTTTCACTTCTGCCTCTGTTTCAGGAGCGTAGGTTGTACAGTGGTAGAAATGCTCACTGAGAAGCCCCCCTGGGCAGAGTTCGAAGCAATGGCTGCCATCTTTAAAATTGCCACTCAGCCAACCAACCCCCAGCTACCACCTCATGTCTCCGACCATGCTCGGGATTTCTTGAAACGGATTTTTATCGAGGCCAAGCTGCGACCGTTTGCAGATGAACTGCTAAGACACACGTTTGCACACTATCACTAACAGCCTGCCTCAACTCAGCTTGCATCTACTGCATTTATTTTCTATTTGACTGCACTTTTATTTTTATTTTTTACAAAAAAAAGGAGAAAAAAGACAAGAGAGAGAATATTCTCTTGAATCTTTATTTCACTTAGATTGTAAACAATCTAAATTTTGTATCTAAGATGAGAATCTTCTCTCCCACCAGGACTAGAACTTTTCGTTTCTATAATGTACTGATGTGGTTCATGTAGATAAAGCACTTTAGTACATATTTCATCCTTATTTAAAGGGGGGGGGGGGGGGAAAAAGACAAATGCTTGGACAGTCAGGAACTGTGTGACTTTTTCTGACACCGCTGACTGACTCAGGGTGCAGGGAAAAATAGACATGCAGCTAAAGGACAAGAAGATTATTCCTCTGGGATTCTTCTTTGTATTGTAGGTACTTGCAGCAGAGAGTTCTAAGTTCTTCTTATATTATAGCATTTTAATCAGTTTCCGGATTTTACAGTTTAAGCTGGAACACAAAGGAACTGTGTGACTTTTTCTGACACCGCTGACTGACTCAGGGTGCAGGGAAAAATAGACATGCAGCTAAAGGACAAGAAGATTATTCCTCTGGGATTCTTCTTTGTATTGTAGGTACTTGCAGCAGAGAGTTCTAAGTTCTTCTTATATTATAGCATTTTAATCAGTTTCCGGATTTTACAGTTTAAGCTGGAACACAAAGTTCTGAGAGTTAATGATAAAGCTAGAAGAACTTGGAACTCTTTGTACAGCTGCATGTCTAACTGGTACTTCTATGTGACCAAAAGAAAATAACTGAAAAAAAAAAGTGGTGGTTTTGATGTAGAACTATTGTATTAGCTTAATAGGACAACAATTACAGGTAAACAGGTTATGGACCCAGACTCCTAGGAACTACTATACTGCAAGGGGAAAATTTGCATAATAGACAAGGGTCAGCTGTTGGATGTAAATAGTTAGGGGAATGCCTCCTGCTGTATCTGCCAAAGAGAACCTATGTTGCATAAGCTTGGAGGAAAACGATTATCTTAGATGAGAAAAAAGAGTGATGCTGAGAGTCAGTTCTCCTCCACAGTCCCATGAATGGCTGGAGGGGAAGGGGAGTGACTAATCTTTGTGCAGTATATCAGTTACTTGAGTCAGAATGAGCTGTAAGAAATGTTTTCAAAGCTATCAAGAGGCGCTAGGATGGAATGTATGTCAACATCAAGTGCCTGAATAATATAAAATTCTTCCTGTTATGCACTAAAAAAATTGTTTTAGTAACACATTTCAGTCATCTAGGAATGTGTTGAAAATTCCTGAAATGAAGTTAAACATCTTTTAACACCAGGAATAAGTCACTGAGAAAGATAAGACTCCAGTTATATTTTTAATAAGGTAGCAAAGATGAATCTACATGAACAAGGAGGCACAGCACAAAAGATTGTATAAAGAATAGGCCAAAAGCGCAGAAAGAGCCAGCAATTAAATAACAGGAGCATGATTACTCCAGCCTGATAATCCAGATGATTGGTGTTTGTCAGATTTCCAACTGTCATAAAATGTGCATTAATCACTTTTTCCAATTCTGAAAGGGTACAATAAAAGAACAAAAGTAAAACTCTGAAATACTGCTTCTCAGTTGAGAAGTCCAGGTACTACTGATCAGGTGTAGTGAATAACTGAAACAACAGAAAAGTCAAACTCTGATATTTTTGTAGAAGAACACAACATAAATAATTTAAAAGGACACTGGGAAATAAACTATTGGACTATAGAACTGAAATAATGTATACTGGTTTGGATGATTCATTGCTTGCTTTCATTGTTTTGTAAAGGCAGAGCGGGCTGGTACTGTGAACCTTGTCCACTCTGACAAGGCTCTACCTGTTTTGCGTCTCTAGAGGACTATCAGAATTATGAAGTGCATGGAGACAGAACAATAAGTTTACCCATTCCCATGGTAGTTCACTTACGAGATTTCTGAATTTATTCTGCTAACTTGAAAATTTTATACCAGAGCATAAGCAGGAGTATAGATCTATCCTAATCACTTTACCTGTAGTGGAGTAAGAATGGGGTTTTTTTGAGGCCATCTCTCCTGAGGCTCAGAGTGGCGGCTTCTCCAGCTTATGTGAGTATTTTGCCCATCTCATAATTTTCTTGGGCAGGGTACAAAACTATTCAAGGTTTTCTGAGCATGGGAAGAACTAGTCAGACTAGGGAAGGTTTAGAAGGCTGAAAGCAGAGTCAGCTTGTACTGACTTTTGGGTTTTTTTGGCTTTTCTGTTACTAGATAAAAGCTATGAAAGCAGCCTTTGAAAAGAATTGGTATGTCCTCTGCCATAAAGGACCTTGGCTTTATAAGCAAAATTTAGTGATAGCAGGGATGACAAGTTTAATGTAGAGCCTAGTAGTTTATGTAGGTAAAGAGCATATAATTGAAATGATTGATTTCAAACAGATTAAGAAGGTACCAAAACCAAGGTGAAAATGTATATAAAAACCAGTGGTAGACAGTGATATCTGAAAAGGTAACGAAATTTTGTATTACCAAAAAAGGCCATTAAAGGGAAAATGTAACGAGGTTTATGTGTAGCATTCATAACGTTTAAATATACTATTCTCAAAAGAAACTGCACTCTCTGAAGCTTGAAGATTTTCAGAATCTAGTTTTCTTACAATGTGTCCCTTTTTGTGAGACAGTGCTGGCTCATGTGTATTACAATATCACTTCCTCATTGTGATTTTTAATTACTGAATAATCAAGTTTGCTGCTTTTGTGCCTTTTCTGAAAAATGGCATTCAGTCATGACAACGGTAAGCATTTTGGAGCCAGGAAAAAAAGAATTTGCAGAATGCATTTTCCTTAATATCTTTCACATATCGGAAAGCTGCCAACAGAAAGACAGTACTTAAATGGAGATGACATTTGCCAGTTCTGGTGATTCTAGTAAAATTTTATGAATTTGACCAAGATTAGGCTTGAGCTGTTTTTTCTTCACTCTATGCAGAGTTTGTCTACTGACTTAAACAATTTACACTAAGTTAGATGGTTATTAACATAACATAAATGTTTTAAGCTATAAATAGTTATGAAGCTAAATCAGACTTCTACCAAAAGGTTAGCTATTATTTATCCCCTGTTGGGGTAATGTAGTAAAACAAGCTGCATTAAATAACGTAGTACCTCTGTATACGCTGTGCATAAAACACTTACATTGACTACTGGCGTGATAACGAACAAACCCCAGTTCCAGAATTGGAGAGGGCGCATGGAATTGCGTGCTTAAAACTCCATTGGAGGAGAGTTGCAGAGCCAGGATCCCCGCTCACAACTTATCTTACTAACAAAGAGCCCAGCATTTTAGAAGCATGAGTTAGTCCTAATTGTTGAATCCAATTACTAGAAAATGTCAATGAAACCAATACTGTTGCAGGGTTGTTTTGCTTTTCTGTAAAAGCCATGATGAAGCTATGCTCTCAAAAAAAAATAAGGATCGAGGTCCACAGTGAGTATTCATATTTTCAAATGACTGACTGACTGCTAATGAATTTGATTATTCTGTCTGTTGCACGTATTAAGTGACAAAAGTTAAGCTACTTCTGCAGTATGGATTTAATGGTGTAACTAACAGTCCTGTTAGAGCGCGACTGAAAGTTTCAGTTGTGTTAGAGCAAGTTGTTTATTTTTAATTTGGGTGATAGAAATATCCATGCAAGGACTTAAAAAGGTATAGATCTAATAATTGCAAAGTTAGATCTACACAGATTTTTTTTTCTTTACAGTTTAAAAACAGTCTTAAAATTTTAACTTGATTTGCAATTTGATTTGTAGCTAAACAGTCCTTTCAGTATAACAAAATGAAAAGGGTTTTTTTTTTAGCTAGTGCCTTTTTAGCTGTATGCCTTAATTTTGTTCATATTTGAACACCATATTGAAATATGTCATACAATTGTATGTCACTAAAGCAGTCTTAGTATGGGTTTTTTCAAAGTGCCCAAACTAGAATTCACCTAACTGTATTGAAAAGTGTACTTCAGTTATAATCTGCAGCAGACATTTAAATTCAGAATTTTAAAAAGTGATTTTTGGAGCACTTCCTGAGGGTGTCCTGTGCTAACACAGGTCTTGTATTTGCATTTTGGAGATTGTACACTGATGCACATATCAGAAAAAGGACCTTTCTGCACTCACAGAGATACTGTTGGAGTTGAGATTTAGCTTCCTAGCTCTGGGTTTGCTGCAGAGACCGCGGCAGAGTTCTTAATGGACTTGAAATTACAGATGGTACGTTTGTAAACGTGGTACTGTATTAAAAGCTGTTTACTTTCGGTACAGAGCAATATGATGTGTCTGAGCAAATGAGTAAGATTTCTCAGCGAAGCTAGCATCGTGCCCATGACGTTCTTTCCTGTGCCTTGTGGATACTCCTGATGCTGCCATTGTCTTGACTGAGAGCTTTGTAGCACCTGTAGGTACAGCGCAGTAGAGCAAGCCATTCTTTCCGACTGCATCGAGCAATGTCTAGCTGCAGCTTCAGAGGCTTGAGCAAATTGGTCAGATCTACAGTTATTTATAACCAATTTCTTAACTTTTTTTAATCTTGACGGTCTTTGTCACGCATATAGAAAAGCCTAATTTGTGTGCTTGAATGTACGTCCCTATGGTGTTTTGGGAAAAGCAGAAGTATTACTGCCAGTATCATTTCTTCTTGCTGGTAACTTGCTGTCTTGTGTTAATGACAAGTCTGCAGTGTAAAATCACATACGATTACCAAAGCTTTTCTATCCCCATACACATATAGCCAAAAGTGATGTTTCATGGATAAGTACTGTTACTTATAGATACATGTATATCCATCAGTAAGCTGTTGCTAACTGAGTAAAGCAGGTACTAGTAAAGAGTGATAGCCACTGCCCATATTTAAGAGATTTGGGCGTCTATAGTTGCTGTTTTGATGTGCAAAATTCATGCCAGCATTAAAATGAGGAGTTTGCTTTTTAAAACTCTTTTTAACTTGATCTTACAGTTGTCATTCTAAAATCATTGCATTAGCTTGGTGACTGAATCTGGTGACTTCTGTAGCCGGGTTTGAGCTTTGGGACATTGAAGGAACGCCATGAAGAGAAGTAGATTTGTGACCTGACCTGCTCTGTGCACCACAGTGAGAGCTTTTCAAAGCTGCTGGGAAGCAGTCGGCTTGATGTGACAGCCAGACGTCACCCGCAGTTACAGGGGTGCCACAAACGCGCGCCGAAGGGGGCAGGCAGACTG